AAACATAAGAACATATTATGGCTAAGGCTACAGTTATACACGTCGTAATAATAATATTAAACACCCTGTCTTCTGACAGTCATCAACTTTTCTCTCTAGTTATCCTTGACCAGATGTACCCTGTAGAAACTCATAAGCATGCCTAAGCATTTAACAGTCTAACTATACATCCTATCTCCACTAAACATTTCTAATACATAAAGTATCTATCCAATATCTATCTGACTAAAAATACCTAACAATAAGAAATGTTTTATTTAAAGGTGCAATAAGACAAAATAGACTGACTAGCACTGCAAGCAACATGGAGGTTGAGGCTGCCATAAAACGGTTGGTACTATTTCAGTGTCCCACCCCAAACTCTTTCATATTTACACGCAGTACTATTTTAGGGCACACTTTGTATCAGTGTGTTAATGTTAATTTGTAAATTGCCTTAACAGGTGGTTGCATCTTGCCTCTGACCGTGATGGAGGGAGGAAAGCTCGTGAGGGTCGAGCTGGTGTTGCTGCACACAGTCACCAAATTTGACGGATGTTATGCTATACCCAAGGACTTCTGCTTTATCACCTTCATTTCACACAGACATGAAATCTTGTTGGCTGAACTGTTCACTGTTTTAAATTTACCACACCTGTTTGAGTGTTTGTCCAAAAGGTTTGTTATTGCTGTTCATAAAAAATGTTAAATTTTATCTTTAAATGCAAACTTTTGGAAAAATATTTGCAGTTTTGATGGACACTATACTGTTAATTGCTGTTTGTGAATTAAAGCACAATATCCTGTGAACTGGGATAAACTGTGGAAGTACTGTAAGTCATAAATCATTTAACATAAAAAATGGGAATGTTTTATTAGTTTTTTAGCTTAATATATGTTTCTATAGGTGATGATTAACTGAGTGAAATAATTGGTAAATCTAAATTTAGATGGCCATGTGCTGGATGTTGCCCAGGACAGGTTTGCTATCTAGCTGCCAGATGTGGGCCAGTCAAGGACCGTTATTCCAAACCAAATGTGAGCCATAAGACAGAGGTGCATCTGGGCCAGATCCGGTCCAGGTCGGGATTGTTAACTAGCTGCCGGATGTGGGCCGAATCTGGCCCACACAGTTTGCTATCTGGGAGGTGTAACTACAATGTGAAAAGCTTTTAAATGGTATGACTCAGCAATATTCTAAATAATAAAAACTGTAACTGTACTGTACTGTGTGTACAAATTTTCATTTTAAAATTTAAAAAGGTTCAATTAGAAAAAAAATTCTTGAAGCTAAGGTTCAAAAGATCATAATGTCTAACTATTTAGCGTGATATATATTTAAGTAGTTAACAGCAGTTAACACATACCAACTGCGTCTGGGAGACAGAATTGTACTGCATTTTGGTAGCAATCATTGTAGGGAAGAGATAAACAGTAGATCGTAACGTTTTCTGCTGCCAAGCTGCTAGAAGGATGGGGCGGACTGACAGTGCCAGCGCCTCTGAGCCGCTCCATATCCAGCTGAGAATCACCTGTCAGCTCCGCTGGGAGCGTCTGCAGGGAGAGAAACAGGAGCGAGAGAGCGAGAGACAGGGCAATGAGCAAAGTGACATCTGCATTAAGTTTAATATATACAGCACTCTGTTGTGTTATTCCACTGTTCTATTATGTCAAGATTAAACAAATTGAAGGAACAGTTACGATTGTAGTGGTTAGAAATAAACCAGATTCCAGAAGTGATATGTAATAGAACAGTATGTAGTTCATATAGATATTATTTGTAATAGTTATGTAAGGGTGAGCTCAGTGTGTGCGGAAGCTTGATCTGTCTCTGGCGCAGGCAAGAATATCTGTGTCCCCCTTGATTAACTTATGGGTCAACATCCTGAGTGACTTCCTCCTCTGATAGGGAATGGATATACAGATACTGCAGCTGCAGCTTATGTGAACTGTTTGTGTGCTCTGTTCAGGTTTAGAGAAAGGAAATGTGCGCTAGGTCAATGTGACCTAGAAGGTCATGTACTGGACGGCTTAGACTATGCTTGGAAGAAGGTGTGTGAGGGTAGCTGGCATGGGACCGCGTCTTCATGGCTCCGGCCGTGCAGAGCTGTGTGAGTATGAGCAGATAAAGGCTGGGTTAGACCAGCAGAAGAGAGAGAGAGGATGACCATGCTACCATGAACAGTAAACCACGTACTTTTGGGGACCCAGCCGGCTGGGGGGAGATGCTGACTGACTTGGGACTGACAACAAATGACCTGACTGACTGGCGCTCTGACAATCTTTTATTTAATGCTTTATCTATCACATTGCAGGAGGAGAGGCTCTGTTCTCTGATCTCTGTTCCCTAACTACAAGATTATGTGTTTAAATACTACTCTA